AATGGAGTCCTCCTCTCCCCCAGCCCTGCCCTGGCATGCCTTCCCTGTACAGTACAGACCTAGTAACTGTTACAGAATGTCAACTGAGAAGCGGGGGGGAAGGTGCTCAAAGTTGGCAGGTCAGGGAAAAGCACCTGTTTGGTGGATCAGCAGAGTGTTTACAGATATGAAACCAGTTTGTGTAAATTCTGAGTTGTGGCCTCTCTAGGTTGCATAAAGGAGCCACCAACAAAGGATGCTCCTTGCCCAGCCTGAGGAGGCAGCTGATGCCACCTACAGCCTGCAGACTGGCTCTGCATCCGATCCGGCCACCCTGTCCGGCCCTCCATGGAAGACAAGAGGTTAGATTGATGCTGGGGAGGGAAATGGGCAGTCAATGCTCAGGATGAATTTTTTTCTTGATAAATTATAAATAATTAAACATGAGTTTAAAAATTATCTGACTACAGTGTTTTTGGAGATCACAGTAATTGGATTAAGATTTGTGAATACATTTCTTATAAATATATTTCTTCTAGAGAGCACCTTATGAGATATGCCCATGTCTCTGTGTGTGTAGCAAGCCCAAAACATTCAACCCAATTCTAGATTAGGTTAGCGGGTACATGGTTATCCATGTAGTCGTATCTTAGGAGAAACCAGATTGCTGCGGAACCATCAGATAACGCACACTTCTGAAAAGAAATAGAATGTATTTTTATTGGCACAGCCAAGATGAAGTACGTCTTGAAATCTGTCTTACAAATAAACTTGCACATAAATTGTCCATTCACTGCTTCGAAATCTTTTTTTCACGTTTGAGGAGCTGTCAGGGGTCCCTAATAAACATGAGTCTTATTTAGTTTACTGGATATGTAATTCTTCTTTTCTTTGAAAATAATTATTTTTCAAACAAGTGCAGCAAAAATACAACCAATAAAAATCTAGCTATGACAGCATAAACAACCTTTACAGCCAGCATATACATAGAGTTCTTCCAATAAAAGCAGTTTCTGGTAAGGAAAGGAACACAGAAAATTGGCCGACTGGTGCCGAGATCCAAGGCTGGGGTCCCTAAGGGTTGACAGACAGACCCTCACAGCCTATTCCCATTTCCCCATTGGGATAGCCCCTGACTGTTGGGGACAGTTGGAGCATCCCACCTGCTGGCATATTTCAACATGGTTTGTGAGACACCCTCCCCAAGGCCCATTCTTGAAGGGGCCACCAAAGCTGTTGGACAGTGGGGTGAGAAGTTCCTTGGAGGGCTCTGCAGGGCAGGACACAGACCCTCTGCCTTTTGGTTCTCCCTATCCTGCATCCAGCGCTGTGGTCTCTCGAGAGGGTGGTACCAGGGCGATGGCAGGGCGGGGGCACAGGGATTAGGGTGGATTTCGCAGAATCTGGCCCAGGGATTCTCCTCTGGATTTTGGTCACCTTTAGTCCACCTGTCGGGGCTCTCTGGAAGTGCCTTATTTGGGTCCTTCCCAGCCCTGCACCCAGTGGCCGTCACTGTGCCCCTTCTTAGGAGCCCTGGCCACCAGTGCGTGTGGAGAGAGCATGAGCCCGTGGGGGGAGGGGGGAGGAATGGGCCCCTGGGCATCCCCAGCCAGGTGCAGACTCCTCCTGGGGAGCTCCATGTTCGCGGGTTCTCAGCAGACGTGCGGGTGTTCATTTATGCTTTTTATAGTAGCTGGAGAAGATGTTATCCCAGCTTGAGAACAGAAATTAAAATATGTATCCTTCAGGTGCAAATCTACTGTACTTACAGTTTTACTGTTTCTCTGCAGGGGGGCTCCATTAATCTTGTAACAAGGAAATTCCTAAGGAAATTAATTCCCTCCAGTTGGGGTTATTCTCAACTGGTCTTCAGGGGCGGAGTAATTGGAATTTAAGAGTCTCTCTTAAAAGAAAGGAAACATTGGCCATTTCACTTGAATAACAACACTTTTTAATGCCATGCTTTGCCCATTAAAAATGCTGGCTCCTTCTCTCCCTCTCAGTACTCCTGTGTCTCTGGGCTCCTTGAGGTGAGGTTTACAAACCCCTGCCAGGCGGGGGTTTCGTTCCCTGTCCTCCACAGTCCTCCTCTACAGTGACCGGGTATTCCTCTCCACCGTGGCTCATTGGCGTCTGCCCAGCACTCGGCCCTGTGCCCTGCCAGGGAGTGACACTTGGCCCCGGGAAGGAAGGATGTGTCATTAAAAATGCACAGCTAAAATATTTCCTTGCCTAGGGCGCCTGGGTGGCTCAGTTGGTTAAGCGACTGCCTTCGGCTCAGGTCATGATCCTGGAGTCCCTGGATCGAGTCCCGCATCGGGCTCCCTGCTCGGCAGGGAGTCTGCTTCTCCCTCTGACCCTCCCCCCTCTCATGTGCTCTCTCTCTCATTCTCTCTGTCAAATAAATAAATAAAATCTTAAAAAAAAAATATTTCCTTGCCTATTTAGGAGCAGCAAATGTTAGCTGTCATTACCTGGAAAAATAATTATACCTCCATCTCTCTCTCACACACTCCCTCCTTTAAAATGGGGTCAACTTACCAACATCAAGTGGGTGGAGCTGCTTTGCTGCCAGGAAGGCCCCCTGCAGCTCTGTCTGGAACTTTGGCTCTCCCAGACCAGGATTTCAGTCTTCACAGCCCAGAACCCAAGCATGGGTCCCCACGTTCCAGGTCCCTGAGCTGCCACACAGCACCCTTGGGGAAACCTAACGTCCTTTTCAGGGCTGTGCTGGGAGAGCTGTTCCTGGTTCCTGAATGAGCAGGGTCTGGAAGCCTAGGAGAGGCTCCTACCCAGGGGACACTTCAGGTAAAATGTCACTGGGCTCCCAAAGGGGATGCCCTGAAGGAATAGGACATGGCTACGTGATGCTTACCTACGAGGTCAGCAGAAGTTCGGTGCCTGGGATGAACACACATTGGGGACATTGGCCAAAATCAGCCCCAATATCTTGCTTTCCTGTGTCTTTGAGCTTTTGAGCACCAACAGCGGCCTTTGGGAGAGCCAAGTCCAGAGTACTCTGCAATAGGCTACACCAGTTTGATAGGATAATGAGTTTTTCCCTTTGGGTGCAACATGCTTAGAGAGAGGACAGGGTATTAACAGCACCTGGGTGGGATGGGGTGCTGTGGTGGGGCACCAGATGGGCGTGAGGTAGTAACAGAAAGCCTAGGGCGAGTCTTGATGCGGCCCCTTCCTTGCTGTGGGTCTGTCTGGTTGTTGCCTTAGCTATAAGGTGTAGGTAGGCAGTGATGTTTTTACATAAATACAGACACATGTTGAAGGCTTTGGCAGGCTGAAAATCACCACAGGCATGTATATATGGTACAGACCTGTAGCTCAGACACAACAGCCAAATACTGCTTGGGCTCAGGGCCCAGTGGAGTGGTATTTGTGGCCAAAGTCAGAGCATTTTATTTTATTTTATTTTATTTATTTTTAAAAGATTTTATTTATTTATTTGAGAGAGAGCACATGAGAGGGAGGAGGGTCAGAGGGAGAAGCAGACTGCCGAGCAGGGAGCCCGATGCGGGACTCGATGCGGGACTCGATCCCGGGACTCCAGCATCATGACCTGAGCCGAAGGCAGTCGATTAACCAACTGAGCCACCCAGGCGCCCCAAAGTCAGAGCATTTTAAAGCTCAGAGGTCAGCTTCTAACCGTTAGGCGTGTTGATGTCAATAGTGAGAGCTGCAGAGAGAGCAGGAGGCAGAAGTGGAAATGTAATCTGGGAGTTTCCCTAACATTCTTCTTTGAAAGTAGATAGGTGCTCTGTAGCTGGTGTGCGCTGCTCTCAGCAAATTCCATTTGAAGGGAAAGTCAGAATTTTTAAAACATTAGAGGGAGTGAATACTGCTGCTTTTTGAAAAAGAATCACTACAGCACATTTCCCTAGTGCATTACAATTTCATTAGTTTTTAAATTACAAAGCCAGTCCATGTTCTTTGAAAAAATGCAAATGATACTAAGAAGTACATGATGTAAAAAGGGAATGTCCTCCCTTTGACTCCCCTCCTTTCTGGGGGCGAGCTCTCCTAACACTTTGGGGCATATCCTTCTGAAGACCTTTTTTTCTATGCTACGTTCATCTATATAGAGCTATGCTATTTTATTTACCTGTAATTCCGTTTAAAGTGGCCATCGGAGTATATACACCCTGTTTTGCAAGGTGCTGTTCCCCCCACCTTCTACTGCATTTTTGTATAGTAATCTCCAGATTTTATTTATTGCAAAAAACCTTGTTTTACATTTTAAAATAATTTCGCGTCACGCGCAGTGGTAAGGAATAATAGAGATCCTGTGTCCATTCTCCCCCCAAGACGACATCTCGCAAAGCCATGGAACAAAACCACAGCCAGGATGTCGATCGCCATTCACGCCATCCGCCCCTCCTCTTCGGATTGCGCAGCGTTACTTGAATTCATCTGCGTGTGTATGGGTTTTGTCCCACGGGTTTTGTGTTTAGGTTTGCATATGTACCGCCACAGCTGGGACACGAAGCGGCTCCTCGTGGCTCTTACTGCACGCGATCTCCCATTTTCAGTAACATCCCGCCTTTTACTTAAGTTCATTTAGGTTAAGACGTCGTCTCGTTGAGCGTCCAGACCTCGTGACCTCACCTGCACTCCGCCCCACGCGCGCACCCCTTCCTCCAGCGGCTGTAGTCGCCGCCGCCGCGCCGTGGACTCCCGGGCGGGCGCACAGGCCCGGGGAGCCGGGGGCACGCGGGCCCGGCGCGCGGGCACGCCCCCGGAAGCCCCGCCCCGCTCCCGCGCGCGCGGCTGGCGCAGGCCCGGGGCGGGGCTTCCGCGCGCGCGGCTGGCGCAGGCCCGGGGCGGGGCGGGGCCGGGGCGGGGCTTCCGCGCGCGCGGCTGGCGCAGGCCCGGGGCGGGGCGGGGCCGGGGCGGGGCTTCCGCGCGCGCGGCTGGCGCAGGCCCGGGGCGGGGCGGGGCCGGGGCGGGGCTTCCGCGCGCGCGGCTGGCGCAGGCCCGGGGCGGGGCCGGGGCGGGGCTTCCGCGCGCAGCGGCCCGAGGCCCCGCCCCCGCCGGCCGCCCCGCTCGATTGCTCCTGTCTGGCGGCGGCAGCATGGCGGCGGGGGCGGCCGAGGCGGCGGCGGCGGCGGTGGTGGAGGTCGGCTCGGCCCAGCAGTTTGAGGAGCTGCTGCGCCTCAGAGCCAAGTGAGCGGCGCGGCGGGCGGCGGGGCTGGGGCGACGCGCGCGGGAGCGGCCCCCCGGCGGCGGCGGCTTGCGGCCCGGCTCCTTGGCGCCCCGCCGGCGGGGCCTGTTGGGGCGGCAGACTTGTGGGGTCCCCGGCTTCCGATGCCGGCCCCCTGGCCCCAGGAGGGGAGCGGGCCGGGGGCCCGAGCTCGGCCCCCGGCCCGGGGCCTCCGGCGACGCGGTGACTCGGCCCCGGGGCCGGGGGGAGGGGGCGAGCAGACCCCCCGGCCCGCTTTGTCAGCGGCCCGCGGTCCAGGGAGGCCTAGCCGCTGGGCGGCGGTGCCCGGTTGGCGCCGAGCGTCCGCGGCGCGCGGGGAGTCCGGCGGGGCTCGCTCGGGCAGCTCCCCTGCCGGCCGGGCTCGGCTCTGGCTTGGCACGCGTGCTTCGGCTGTCGGGCCGCCGTGCAGAGGGGCCCCGGGCGGGCACGGGGACCGTGCTGGGGAGGGGCGCTTGCGGGCCGGCGCCGCAGCCCGCAGCCCGCAGCCCGCCGGGCCCGGGGCCCCAGGTCCGATTGCCTGCGAGGCGGCCCCAGCCCTGCCTCTGACTGGCCTTGGGAGCCCTGGGCAGGTCTCGGAACCGGGCCTCAGTTTGCGCAGCGGTGAAACGCATGGGAGTCGTGGCTGCGCCGGGCGGGGCGGTGGGGCGTGCGTGGGACGGTGCGGGCGCCGGGCTGGGCTCGCGTGCGGCCCTGGCCCGCGGCTCTTGAGCGCGGAACCCAGTGCCTGCGTGGCGCTCCCAGCCAGTGGCGTTGTGCCCCCCAGTTGGAGGAGCGGCAGGTAGTGCCCCGCTTGGCAGAGCGAGTGGGACCGGGGCGTCGTGTGTGTTGGAAACGGAGCGGGGCGACGGCGATCTCCGTACTCTGGTCGGTCACGCTTTGCGGAGGTGACGGAGCTAAAGGCGTCAGCCAGAGCAGCCCGTTTGACGTTTCAGGGTTACTTCGAAGACTGTTTAGGGGGGAAAGGGCGGGATGACCATTACTCATGATGAAGGGTGGGTGGTGATTCATCCAGCCCCTGCGTGCAGGCAGCGCAAGGAGGGACGGCGCCAGAGGTGGACTCGAAAGGAGCCGGGCTTGTGTGCACCTGCCCGTCCTGAATGTTTCAACTTACTGTCGCCTGAAAGGCTGTTTTGCCTCGTGTGTTGCACGTTTTGGTCTTTATGCTTCATTCTTTTTTTTTTTTTTTAAAGATTTTATTTATTTATTTGACAGAGACAGACACAGCCAGAGAGGGAACACAAGCAGGGGGAGCGGGAGAGGGAGAAGCAGGCTTCCCGCCGAGCAGGGAGCCCGATGTGGGGCTCGATCCCAGGACCCTGGGACCATGACCTGAGCCGAAGGCAGACGCTTAACGACTGAGCCACCCAGGCGCCCCTAGATTTTTAATTTTTTTTTTTTAAGATTTTATTTATTTATTTGAAGAGAGAGACACAGCGAGAGAGGGAACACAAGCAGGGGGAGTGGGAGAGGGAGAAGCAGGCTCCCCGTGGGGCTCGATCCCAGGACCCCGGGATCATGACCTGAGCCGAAGGCAGACGCTTAACGACTGAGCCACCCAGGCGCCCCCCGTTTGCCAATTTCTTTTTTATTTTATTTTATTTATTTGCCAGAGATAGACACAGCGAGAGAGGGAACACAAGCAGGGGGAGCGGGAGAGGGAGAAGCAGGCTCCCGGCTGAGCAGGGAGCCCGATGCCGGCCTGGATCCCAGGACCCCGGGATCATGACCTGAGCCGAAGGCAGACGCTTAACGACTGAGCCACCCAGGCGCCCCTATGTTTCATTCTTTATCTTAAAAATCCTTGAAGTCACACGGTCCATACGATTTGGATGTGTTCTTCCCGGTGGTCTGTACTCGAAGTGATCCAGAAAACAGCGTGCCTTTTCCGTAGTGATTAGTTGAAACAGGGCACCTGGAATGATGGATGGCATCTTGGAAGGAATAAATCTCTGCCGATTTCGTGAAAATGAAAGCACTGGAAAACATTAAACAGTACTTGTTACCGTAGTCATTTAAAAATCTACTTCCTAAATACCATTTCTCAGTTTTAAAATTTTATGTGAATTGGCATTTTTGCGGGCACCTGGGTGGCTCAGTCGTTAAATGTCTGCATTCTGCTCAGGTCGTGATCCCCGGGTCCCGGGATCCAGCCCTGTGTCAGGCTCCCTGCTCAACTGGGCGTCTGCTTCTCTCTCTGCCTCCCCCGACTTGTGCTCGTGCTCTCCTTCTCTCTCTTTCAAGTAAATGGATAAAATCTTAAACAAGAAATTTTTGTTTTGCGTAAAGCGTCTCAGGTGTTTGTATATCACTGAAACCCCAGCTGGTCTATACAGTGGGGGTGTTAATACCCATTTGTAAAATACTTAAGAGTCTAGCGTATGATAGCATTTAATAAACTGTAGCTGCTGTTACCTGCAGACGAGTAACTGCAGCAGCAGAACACCTAGTAATAGAGAGACAGCTCTTCATTGCGCACTGATTATTTTGTTGATGTGCAACCGACGTTCATTACATTGTCTAAAATCATGTTAGTTAGGATTTGAACCTGGCCTTTAAGGTTTTTCCTCAAACAGTGCACCATGCAAGTTGGGTTACTTCATGCAGACATGTAACCTGAGAGGGTAGCAGCATTTATATTCGTTTCAGGTTTATGTCCTTATGCTACTAGGCAGTGTGTACTTAGAGAGCTGAGCATCTAAATAGGAGGTTGTTGTGGATAATGTACAATTACTATTAATATGCTTTTATTTTTAAATATTTTTATATTTTTGTTTGATCTTCCCAGTATCCCAGGGTATTAGTTATTTCTAATTTATTTTGTTTTTAAAATATTTTTAAAAGATTTTATTTATTTGACAGAGCGTGAGCACAAGCAGGGGGAGCAGCAGGCAGAGGGAGAGGGAGAAGCAGGCTTCCTGCGGGGCGGGGAGCCCAATGTGGGGCTCCATCCCAGGACCCCGACCTGGGCCGAAGGCAGACACTTACCCTACTGAGCCACCCAGGCGCCCCTAGTTATTGCTCTTTTACAATATGGAAGTTAAGATTGCACATTTAAATTATGATTTAAATTACTCTTCAAAACCATATTAGTAGTAATGGAATTTAAATTGTGTGGGTATACCTTTTTTCTTTTTTTTTAAACTGTTAAGAGTATAATTAATACACAATAGTATATTAGTTTCAGATGTTATCTTTTTTGCATAGGTCAGTTCATACTGTTAAAAATTTGGTAACATTTAAATTTTAAAAAATATAATCATATTGTGAGCATTTTTCCATGTCATTAAAATCCATGTCATTAAAAATAAAATTTTTAATGACTTGATAATATTTTGTTATAGGACCATTAAAAAAGCTATAGTGTTGTTGAAGAATTGATTCTTCCTGTTATTTGGCTGTGTAAGATAATGGGAAGGTGTCTTTACTCCTTAGGATAGATACTTGACAGTGTGTAAGAAATTTCTGAAAGGTTCCAATTTAATTTTTACCAGTAGAATATGGAAATGCTTGGCTCCTTCGATCTTTTTTTTTTTTTTTATCGTGGAATATTATTATTTAAAAAGTCCTTTTTCAGTTTAGTTAGAAGTGGTATCCCAGCTTTTTTAAAAAAAATGAGGCATTACTTACATACCATGATAAAATGCACGGATTTTAATAGCTAGGTGTGATGAATTTTAACAGTTGTACATACACAAGTAACCACCATTCAAAACAATATAGAGCCCCAGAATGTTCTTTAGCTCCTTCCCTGTAATCCCCGCCACTGACCCACTCTCTGGCACTATAGGTTAGTTTTGCCTGTTCTTTGTACTTTTGTAAATGGAGTTACACAGCTCATGGTCTTGAATGTCTGGGTTGGTTTCCTCATCATGTTTTCAAGATGCACATTGTTGCATGCATCTATAGTTGGTTTCGTTTTATTGCCCAGTAGTATTCTGTTGTATAAATATACAACAGTTTCTCCAGTTTGTGGACATTTGAGAGCATGAGCGGGGGAGGGTCAGAGGGTGAAGCAGACTCCCCTCTCAGCAGGGAGCCTGATGCGGGACACATCTGACATTTATTTGTAGCTTTACCCATTCTTGATTCCTTCACTCCTGACCCAGAGGAGGCTGTCCCTTCCCTCATGGTGAATTCTCTGCTCTTAGATTTCCCCTCCTGCCACCCCCGAAGACCTTTGCATCCTCAGCCTCTCGTGTCTTTATCCTTTCCCTCTCCACTTGCACTACCCTCTATGAAACAAACATAAAGATTTTATTGTATTAAAAAGCACAAATCCCTTGATCCTGTCTTTCCCTCTGCCTAGGACTCTCTCTGTTCACAGCCAGATCTCTTCAAGTGTAGATTCCTAGCAGCCTACAGCCTCATCTTAGATTCAGTCCCCGCATCCTGCAGTCTGACGCGTGCTTCTTCTGCCCTCCAGCATTGCTGGGGCCCTTCCAGCTGCATTGGATGGTTGTCAGTTCTTCCTTCTTAACATCTTTCTCTTGACTTCTGGGAGGCCCTTTAACCTTGCTGTGCTTTTTAGGCTCCATTTTCTGGTCTACTGCCTGGGTTCCTTTTCCTCCATCTGTCCTAACTTACTGTCGATGAGCTCAGAGGCTCTGACCTCTGTCTTTTATCCTCTAGGGTAGGAGAGCTTGGTGCCAGCTCCATTTCTTGATTCCCAAATCTATCTGCAGATGAAGCACAGACTTCTTTCCTGAGCTCCAGACCATCACTAACAGCCCCCACCCCCCTCAGGCTTCCTTTCCTCTCAGGTTAGCAGCTTCTATACATGATGCGTGGCTCGTGCCACCACTAGTCATCAGTCACTGAGCCAGAAACTTGGAGTTGGCTCTAGACCATGCTTCCAAGGTCACCAAATCCTGTCCTTCCTACCTCTGAAGTCCTCCCTTTGCTTCTGCTCGCCAGCACTGGGTGGGAGGCTTATGCTTCTCGTGGCTGTACTGTTTACAGTTGGCCACTCCTTTCCTTGCCCACAGGTTAGTTGTCCTTAGTTCCTTTCTCTATGTGACATATTTTTCAATGTGTTTCCTTCCTGGTTTTTCAGGTTTTTTTGGTTGGGGATAATTATAATTTGTACTTAGACTCCTATAGAAGGGTTTTTCAGTTCAATATGAAGATAGACTTACTTAAAAGATACCTTAGCCAAGACCATTTTATATGAAAATAGTTGATAAGTACATACTGAGATGCCTAAGAACTTAGTCAATAATTTATTAATCCACTGTTCTGTCTGTTCATACCATCAATTTTTAGAAAATCTTTTGTGGTAGAATATAAAAAAAGCCTGTCTTTGTGAAAATCAGTTCCATTTGTTTCCCTTGTTTTCTGCCTGTGTGCCTTCCATTTTCAACATTTTATTCCTGTTCCTATGGTCACAGTTAGAGCCCAGCATCACAGTACTGTGCTTAAAACGTGAATACCCCATCGTACCTGTGCACCTGTAGCCATTTGTCACAGACGTGGTGCCTCGGCTGCAGAAGTCTAGTTTCCACCTTTCCTAAGGGTCTGAAAACATAATTGATTTATAGGACTATTAGTTGAGATGGATGAATATTTAGAACCACTTCATACGAGCTAAGTCTTCACTCAAGAAATATCATTAACTTGAAAATTCCTCCAAAAGATTACCAAGACCTTGTAATAAGCCTTATATTTCAGTCTGGGTTTAATACGATAGAATTCTAGCAGTAGAAAAACATTTCAGGCAGTTCTTGTAAAGATTGTTTTGGTAATAGAATTTAATCGATGTCAGTATTTCCTTATTTCTAAAGATACTGTAACTTTAAAAGATTGCATTTTGATGATTTCCAGGTCCCTCCTTGTGGTCCATTTTTGGGCGCCGTGGGCTCCACAATGTGCTCAGATGAACGATGTGATGGCAGAATTAGCCAAAGAACAGCCTCAAGTTTCGTTTGTGAAGGTATTATATTTTTGGTGTCACGTCTTTTATGAGGCAGATTGCATTTTATTAACATAAGGGAGGAGGGATTTGGAATTCCACATGTTTATAATTGGTGTTATTTTTTATTATTTTTGCAGTAGATTATTCTTAAAAACCTTAAAATTGTTTTGCATTTCTCAAGTATGAAATACTGTGACAACAACCACACTTTCCCTAACATGTGTGTGGTGGGAGGACAGAACTAGTAAATTGCAGGATGGGTAGTGGGGATGTTCGCCAGCAGAAGCAACTAGATCATTCACTGTGGATCATCGTGTTTTGAATATAGTAAAAATATTAACAAAGCTTGCTTCATTGAAGAGCAAGGTGTGATATGGAAAGCGAGTAAAGGAAGGGTGTGTGGAGGCCGCTAGGAACCAGGGGAACAGGAAGAAGCAACTTTCTTGGATCACGTAAATGCAGACCTAGAGGAGAAACTGAAAGCTTTTCTGACATTTTTAGGAAGCAGAAGAGAAAGGAATCGAGCATCTCCTTGCCTTGCCTTGTTTCCACGTGGCTGTGCACACTCTACATTCCTAGTTTGTCTCTTGGGTGGGCACGTACTAGGAAGGTGATAGTTGAGGCTGTAGATTAGCTCACTTGGTTTAGCACATTTAATGCTGTCAATTAGGACTTAGTCTTGGTTAGAGGCAACAAAGCCCAAATAGGAGTCAAGAATCTTAGAAATGAATTTTTGGGAAGGGAGGCACACCCTGTATTCAAAGACTTGAAATCCTTAGGATTTAAAGAAACAAAAAGTACCAAATCCTTATTTTTTAAAACTATAATTAGTGAGTTCAGAGCACATGTTGGCAAATATACCCATTTATGGGGCTAAAAGTGGTATCTTCTGTATTTTCCACTTTTTATGTAAACTGAAAACAGAATTCTGACAGGCTAATTCATCCGTGTAATAGGTGATGTAATTTTCAGGCAATTTCTATATAGGTAAGTGTGCTTTGAATAGGTATTGCAGTTAGATGTCTCAAAATCAGAACAGCGAAAGGGGTGTACAGTGAGAATGCTCCCCCACACCTTCCCTGCCAGCCCTGGTGTCCCACCCTGTGAAGAAGGGACTGCTTATATTAATTTTGCATGATTCCTTTTAGTGTTTTTTTTTTTTTATGAAGACAGAGCAAATATAGATGTAATAGTTAGCTTTTTAAAATTTAAGGACTCACTTGGGCGCCTGGGTGGCTCAGTTGTTAAGCGTCTGCCTTCAGCTCAGGTCATGATCCCAGGGTCCTGGGATCGAGTCCCACATCGGGCTCCCTGCTCGGCAGGAAGCCTGCTTCTCCCTCTCCCATTCCCCCTGCTTGTGTTCCTGTTCTCGCTATTTCTCTATCAAAAAAAAAAAAAAAAAAAAAATTTAAGGACTCACTTAAAATTCCAATGAAATGTGTAATGTAACCTTAGAATGTAACCCTAAAATGTCCAATATAAATAATATAGAAGGAGACATTAAAACTGCATGTTTGGTCAGTGATAAAAGATAATGATTACCAGTGAAATGAATGATTAAACATTTCAATCATAAGATTAGTCAAGATGATGGTAATTGTTGCATGTCTGCTTTTATGTGTATAATGTTTCTGGTTTAGGTAACACATTGTTCTTAGCTGCCATCTGAATGATTTATTTAAGGCAACTGTAGAATTACTTCTCACATTGGTACCACACTTGGCAGTGAGATTTTAAGTTGTTCAAGTGCTTAAGTGTCTGAGTAAGCCAGGGGTTGGGAAGTCCTTATCTGTCGGGGACACCTGAACCTGAGCGCACCTGCTGTTCGTGGGAAGGCTGACAGCATGAGGTGGGTAGTTCTTCCAGGAGGCATTACTTTCTGGAAATTTACTCTGTGGAGTAGTTTTTCTTTTCTCCCCCCCACCCTTTTTTTTTTTAAGGATTTTATTTATTTTAGAGAGAGAGCATGTGAGTGGAGGGGAGCTGCAGCGGGGAGAGAGAGGGAGGGGGAAAGAATCTCAAAATCTCAAACAGCTCTGCACTGAGCATGGAGCCTGACATGGGGCTTGATCTCACAACCCTGAGATCATGACCTGAGCTGAAGCCAAGAGTCAGACGCTTAAGCGACTGAGGCACTCAGGCGCCCCAGCAGTGTTTCTTTTAAACGGCAAAGATAATTTGCATGGAGTTTGTAAGGTAGGTAATTTAAATGATGAGTAAATAAGTAAAATATTTGGGAGATCTGTTGGCATGCCCCAGTAAGAGAGGATGCAGTTCATTTAAAGAGAGCTTGCTTTTGTTAATGAGAGCTTTTGAGCCATCTAGGGTAGGGAACTGATGTTCTGCCACCTCTGTGTCTTTTAATTTGATTTCTTAGTTTTTTTCTTTTTATTTATTTATTTATTTTAAAGATTTTATTTATTTATTTGACCGAGAGAGAGAGCGAGAGCAGGAACACAAGCAGGGGGAGCGAGGGAGAGGGAGAAGCAGGCTCCCCACTGAGCAGGGAGCCCGACGTGGGGCTCGATCCCAGGACTCTGGGATCATGACCTGAGCTGAAGGCAGACGCTTAACGACTCAGCCACCCAGGCGCCCCAGTTTTTTTCTTTTTTTAATTATTTCTGTTTTTATTTTTTTTTAATATGTACATTCCTAGTCCTCAAACTCCTGTCTTCATTCTTTTTTTTTTTTATTCTTATGTTAATCCCCATACATTACATCATTAGTTTTAGATGTAGTGTTCCATGATTCATTGTTTGTGTATAACACCCAGTGCTCCATGCAGAATGTGCCCTCCTCAATACCCACCGCCAGGCTAATCCATCCTCCCACCCCCCTCCCCTCTAGAACCCCGTTTGTTTTTCAGAGTCCACCGTCTCTCATGGTTCGTCTACCCCTCCGATTTCCCCCGCTTCACTCTTCCCCTCCCGCTACCCTCTTCTTCTTTTTTTTTTTTTTCTTAACATATATTGCATTATTTGTTTCAGAGGTACAGATCTGAGATTCAACAGTCTTGCACAATTCACAGCGCTTACCAGAGCACATACCCTCCCCAGTGTCTATCATCCAGTCACCCCATCCCTCCCACCCCACCCCCCACTCCAGCAACCCTCAGTTTGATTCCTGCGATTAAGAATTCCTCATATCAGTGAGATCATATGATACATGTCTTTCTCTTTTTGACTTATTTCACTCAACATAATACCCTCCAGTTCCATCCACGTCGTTGCAAATGGCAAGATCTCATTCCTTTTGATGGCTGCATAATATTCCATTGTATATATACACCACATCTTCTTTATCCATTCATCTGTCGATGGACATCTGGGCTCTTTCCACAGTTTGGCTATTGTGGACATAGCTGCTATAAACATCGGGGTGCATGTACCCCTTCGGATCCCGTATCTTTGGGGTAAATACCCAGTAGTGCAATTGCTGGATCATATGGTAGCTCTATTTTAGTTTTTTTCTTTTTAAAGATATTATTTATTTGAGAGAGAGAGAGAGAGGGCATGCACGCACGAGCTGGAGGCGGGGCATAAGGAGAGGGAGAGGCAGACTGCACTGAGCAGGGAGCCTGACATGGGACTCCATCCCAGGACCCTGAGATCATGACCTGAGCCGAAGGCAGACGCCTAACTGACTGAGCCACCCGGGTGCCCCTAGTCTGGCATTTTTGACTTGTGAATTATAGAGATCAATTGATTCTATAATTTAAATTTACAAAATCATTATGTAGGTGATCTTAAACATGATGTTTTTAAGAGTTTGAGTGTAAAGTTTTGTGACGATAAACAATTTCTTATTTTGTAGATGATGGAAAAGCAATACCTGAGAAAAGTGAGCATACATTTGGCCTGAGTAGTTCCTGCTCATTGGAACAGGTTGCTGAAAGGCAGGACTCTTAGGTTTATTGCATCTGAATGAGCACGCTCTCACCTGTACTGATGATGTAGTGACAGAGTGCTTGAATGCTCCCCGGCACCATGTCTGTGCCTTGTGGGGTGGCACTCTCCTGTGCTGGCCACCCTGTCTAGACCTACCTGAGGCTCTGGGCCCCATGCCGAGGTTTGCCTGCCTCCCAGGGCTTAGAGGAGATACACAAGTTATTCTTATTGCTAAAAATCTTATTGAAAACTTAACATTTGTTCAGAATAAAATTAAATGGCTAATTAAAATGTTACATGCCCTTTTCAAATTACGTTAAGTCAGTTTGTTAGCACTTTATCTTTAACTAAAATGGGAAAACACATTTATCATTTAATCACTTGTTTGAGAGATAGAATCTTTCAAGATCTAGTGTCTGGTGGCAAGATAGGAAGGAGGAAGAGAAGCACAAGGCTCTTTGTGATGGGAAAGTTGGGTACCATTAGTTCTGTTCGAGGTCTAGATCAAATTCGTTTTTTTATAGGAGTGGCCATTCATTTTTACTTTACATTTGGTTTTATTATGACTTAATTATTGAAATTTTATTCAATTTGTTTTTTATTATTAAATTTATTATTTATTTTTCTTCAAATGAAGGTTGTATGTTTAGGTGCACAACATGATGATTCAATTCAAATCCATTTTATATGAAGTCTCCTGTGTACTCCTGTGGCTTTTTTTTCTTTCATCTCCAAACTTTGTGCCATTGGTTCAACTATTAGAGAATATCTTGTGTTTTTGTCTGTTCTGTCATTTAATTCCCTGTTTTGATTGGCTGTTTTTTTTCTTTTTTTTAAGAGAGAGAGCACTTGGGGGGAGGGGCAGAGGGGGAGGGAGAGAGACAATCCCAAGCCGACTCCATGTCCATCACGGAGCCCAATGTGGGGCTTGATCTTACAACCCTGAGATTGTGATGTAAGTCAAAATCAAGAGTGGGACACCCAACCAACTGACCTACTCAGGTGCCCCTTGATTGGCTTCTTGACTAGATGGTGGGATACTTGAAATAGGGACCTTTACTTTACCTTGTTTTCATTTTTTTTATTGCTTTCCTTTGTGTAGGTGGCTCCCACCTTCTATGTCAGCCTCCC